CGAAATCCCCCTTTTGAAGAGTTCTTGTCTATTGTCGGGAATATGTCCTAGAGATGGTGAAGACTCGCGAAATCTTGGCTCAAGAAGGAATCGATGATTTTGGTCGTCTTTTGGATCGCAAGACTTACTCATTTGAAAATTGACGTGCCCTTCGAATCCCATTCGCTCACGCAGATGACATCTATAAGGCGGTTCCGAAGTACAACCTTCACTTGAAATCTGTTTGAGGCTAACATTTTTTTCTTCTTTCAATATAAATCTCCTCATACTCTCCTATCTCGATACCAAGCTGTTCTCTTCTTTTTAAAGTTGTGGGTTGTCCGCTTTATAAAGTTGTGGGTTGCGACTGTTTCAAAAGCGTTACATCACCCCAAATTTCTTCTCTTGAGTTCAACACACGGTTCTTTTTTTTGTGACTTGTCTGGTTTTTGTGTCTTGATCGTGCGGAGATGTCGACTGATAGTGTATCCTGATGCAATGACCAAGCCCTCAATATGTTTGCCTCCTTTGAAACGATGCCCGAATTGCCCCATTGCCCCATTGCTCACCAGTACAACAAAGAAGCATAAGTGTCTATTCATTCGATGTCAAGACTCAAATGCGAATAGAAACATGGGTTTCTTTTCGCATTTGAGTCTCTTTACGTTCAATCTCAAGCTCGAATGTCAAGAAACATGAGTTTCTTTTGCCATTCAAGGTCATGCGATGATGTGAGATGTGTCACACATCATCTCGTGTCTTTTTTTTGTGTGTCACACAAACATGCTCGACTATTTTGGACCATCGAAGTCTGGGAAGAGATAGATTTGGATAACACGACTCATCTGATATTGACTTTTTGTGAGGCTCATGGGTTATACCCTGTTTGAATAACATAGGCATGCAACTTGGACACTCGGTTCTTACTTTGGGACCTCTTAAAAGACACATGAGGACTTGGCCTGTAAATAGGTGTGATTATATTGTCAAAGCACATGAGAGAAAAAAATCGTTTGTCTACATCATGGGGCATAACCAGCTAATCACAATAGCTACATCCAATAGCCACAAACTGAGTACAACTTGTGCATCAGAGCACCCGAGAATAAGTTCCACGTGGCATCCATAACACTACCCAAAAAATAATATTTACCAGGTGGTTTAGAAAAGTGGGTACTTACATAACCCATGTGATAGGTATGTGTTATGTAAGACAGATAAATCTACTAAACACAACAGAGTACGTGTCAAAATCAACCATCAGTCTTGTTGTCAATTTTGTTCAACCTCTCCAAAACTCAATAGTGTTTTACTTGAACAACACTTAAAGTAATAAAACTTTGTCTGACCCGTCCTTGATCAAAATTAAAGTGCTCCTTCAAAGTAATTAGAGAGTGACTGATATAAACTCTTACTATCTGATACATTGAGAGTATATATTTGGTTGAGGTTATCACCGAGTTATCTCATGAGAGACGAAGAAAAGTTACACATATGTACTAACACTTTTCCCGTGCAGTTTATCGAAGTGGAGGATAGTAGATGATGATGCTGGATGATGAAACAATCTGAATAAGATTGACCATTAATTAGAATTCCAGCCTCCTGTGACACATGATGAATTTCTATCGCCATACAATCTGCCCCATCAATCCGAACCCTTTGGATAAGTCAATTGGTACAAGTAGATATGTACTTCCCTCGTTCTCTATCTTTGAGACAGCTTATGATAATATCAAGCAATTCTTGATAAATTCCTGTCTTCTCAAACTCGATTCTTGCTTTTCCAATTTAGTTATAAATTGTTTTAGTGCATCATTAGGGTATTTCTCTTCTTTTAGAGAGTCCACCTTATACTTATCTTTCTCGGAAATCCATATCTTTTTTATCATCTACTTCATTTCGTTTTGAAGAATACCCTCAATACCATTGTCAAGATGCCACAAACGAAAAAAGTCGTTGAACAAGATGATTCAAAGCCAAAACAACATCAGCACAACAAAGGTGAGGCTCAGAGCTCTTCCATTGTTTCGCTCGAGATGTTGGTCAGACCTTTTGATATCATTCTTCTTGTAGATGAGACATTGCAAGAATGTCTCGCACTTATCCTAGCTTCATTTCATCATGTCCGGGCCAAATACACGGCGTTGTGCCAAAAAGTCGAACAAAAAGGATCCAATGGTACTATCTGTTATCTGTTCTGAATGCCCATGTGTACATCACAGCTAATTCATGGCCTTCTAATTTGTATAGTAAGCGAAAATGACCTCCTTGAATTGAGGGACATAAAGGACCAACTCAGCAAGCTTGATCACAAGATCAACACTTGTCAAAACGAAATGTCTGCTAGAATTATCAAGGCTGGGGCGTACATTACCAACAAAGTCAAAGGACACAAGAATTAAATTTTGACAATTTGTTGTAACCTCATGTACTGTTGAATCATTGTTACTTGACTGAGATAAATGACATATATCAAGTTATAAACAATCACTTGGAAACATCAACATCTGATAGATTCCCTTTGTTCTAAGTGAGCGATCTTATTATAATACGGTCATCTACACCCGCGTGCCACTCATTAACCTAGGGCAGACAAAGAAAAGTGATGTCTATCTGTATTTATTACACATGCCATTCTTTTTAAACTGTACAAACCTGATATTTAAAGATCAGTCCCTCAAGTTTTCATCAATTCCTTTCATCGAACTGAACCTTTCATAATTATAGCTTGTCGACAGTAGTATTCAAACTCAACCCCGTGCCTACGGCGAACAAATTGGCATACCATCGTGGAGGTGGTAGTGATCGCAGTCATCCATCTTGATGACTTGTAGCCCGTTGTTTGTTATTATAATCTAGGATATCAATGGGATTTATCGCACAGGAATTTAGGTATGTGATGTTCCGGCTCGAAAGACAATCATGATATTGAAAGATTGACATGACTCATTGGATACCAGCAGGATCGAAGCTACCTTACGAGACCCCAGCTACAACTTCAAGACCAATCTCAATATATATATCGTTGGCCAACCTGTCTTTTCCATTCTCAATCTCTCCAACTCTGCCTTCATCTTGAATCTCCCTCTATCAGCTCATCATCGAATAATCGTCTATTTTTTGAATCGATTGCACAAGATTCACTAACTACGACCACAATCTACATCTCCCCCATTATGAGATGATCTAAACCCTTTGTGATATCTCCTTGATTTTAAGCAAGCTGATCATATCATCTTTTTGTTTTAATATACTAGGTATACCTAGCATTCCGATTCAAAATGGCTAAACGCAAGGGTTCTAAGAACAGTGGTAGCCCATCTGCCCTTTCAAGCCCGGCAGCTGCGAGCGACCTTACGGAAAAACCTCACATGCTCTCTCCTACGTCCAGATCAGTCCCGCCATTAACTTCAGAACCACCTATATCACATTCACAACCACCTACTTCGACGATGACGTCCCAAATGGCTGCCGTATGGACTCTGATTCAAACTCTCCCAGAAGATCTTCGTGTATTTCTTGAAGACGATTATGAAGCAAATTACAAGAAAATTTTGAAGACACATTTCTATCGTGTCTTACTTCACTTCGATCCCGCCACCAAGTCTCGACCGTCTCATCTCAAAGCCGATTTGAACGCCGCATTCAAAAAGGATGTACGCCCACGTCTTTTACCCTTTCTGATCCCTCGACCTCCTCCCCCGATGGAAACCGATGATGATCATAAAAGTCAACCTGACTTCAACCCTCTAGCACGCAAAACGACCCGCAAGATGGTTATCGAGGTAATCCGACGTAGAGCTCCACATATTGCCACTACACCAAATGTAATCTTTACCGGGCGGTAAAGAAAACTACTGACATAGAAAAGTCCTGAGGCAACAGGAAGAGAGCTAAAAATCTGAAAAAATATGCACCTTGTTCCTAGATGTTGGGGCGTCATGATGAGTATTTTTTTGTATTTTACACGCAGATATTGGTTTATGTACTAACAATAAACGCTGAAAATCATCAAAAACTCACATGTAACAATACCTAAAATTTGGGTCATGAGTATGAAGACAATATTTTGTGGTCTAAAAACTTCAATAACTTTTGCAATTCTGCTCCAAATAACTCGATTTTTGGTTCATTCACAAGCTGAACTATTCTCCTTCACACTTCATAATATTAGTAAGGTGCTATCTAGTCATTTAAACACTCTACATATGCTCAAACAGTTCTGCATGAATAGCTCTGTAGGATCTTTTTTAGACCAGCTACAGATGTGATGGCTCAATGAAAAATGTAGAGGGAAGGCTCACCTTTTTAATGCACTTCAAATCGAGTGATTTGATTCAGAACTTCAAAAGTTATTGATGTTTGAAGATTCCAAAATCCTGTCTTCAAAGTCAAGGGCCAAATTTCAGGTATTGTTACAGGTGGGTTTTTGATGATTCTCAGCCTTTATTGTTAGTACATTAACCAATATCTGTGTGTAAAATATAAAAAAATACTCGTCATGACGCCCCAACATCTAGGAACAAGGTGCATATTTTTTCAGATTTTTAGCTCTCTTCCTGTTGCCTCAGGACTTTTCTATGTCAGTAGTTTTCTTCACCGCCCGGTAAAGATGACATTTGGTGTAGTGTGCTATACCTTCCGCTGCTAGACGCGATGGGTTGATCTTGCTGTATAAGGCGCACGTGGATAAAGACTTGGTTATACCTGGTCTTACTGAGACCATTCGGAAGCCTCGCGCCCTTAAGACTCACGCGGTCGACGGCGAGGACATGGAGGATCTTCGATTAGCGTTGCAATGCTATGCTCCCAACGTATTTGTGCACACCATTGCTATGACCCATCAGGTCTTGGTTGATTGCTACTTACATTTCATTTTGGAAGAACCCATTGAGCCTGGCGCCCTGGTGCGCGGATTTCACTATTCAATCATTGCCTAGTTTCAATCAATGTATGTATCTCAATATTTTTGAAACCCTTGAGGCTTATCTTTGCTAACTGTGACATGTTGCGCGGGTTGAATCCATCCATCTTATCAAGTACATTTGAATGAAACCAGATCCTCAACTAGTGAAGACATCTAACACCTATCAATCCCATCACTTTCTTCCTTTGTCTGTTTTCATTACACTTATAACATTTAAACGTAATGTATCAAACTTCCCTCGCGGTATCGGAGTCAGGCAAAACTTTTATACATCTTTTTTTCAGTCAATTATAAGTAGGTTCCGATGGAGCAGGATCTTCATCAAACCAATAGCAGGATGAACTTATCATCTAGCTTCTCTTTATAGAGGACTTACACGTGTAGTTTGCTGCTTGTTTCATGCTTTGTAATCTACTGATTCGTAATCTACTGATTTATGTTATGTCTTGTTATGAATAAATCTATCCTTCTGTTGTATCTCTTTTGTCCTCAATTCCCAAGTTGAAAACAAAAAAAAATCAAATTTGTCTTTTTTCTTTTAATTGCTTTACCTTTCTTTCAATACAAGATTCAAATCAATGTCTGCTTCCTCCAAGAAGACAAAGGAAGCTCATCGTGTTGTATGTCGATGCAAGGCGCGAGAATGCTACCTCGGGAATTATATCGATGCTTACGGACAACCTCAATCCGGAGTTGAAGTGTTACCCTCAACTCGCGATGCTCACACACGCGCAGATATGCGCAAACAAGCTCTTGAAGCAAGCTCGGAGCTTGCCTCATCTCCGAACACTCATATACCAACTCCTGGGGATCTGGTGACATCATTGGAAGAACTCCACCTCCCTTCCGTCAATATGCCCTCTCAAAGTCGAAAATCTGCTAGAGAGCAACCTCTGCCGACTAGTACAACAGAACTACGTACAAGTATCAGAGGACCCCTCAAGGTTCTTCACATCTTGCTTCTAGTAGCTCTGAGCGCCACGCTCCACCCAGAAGAGACTCGACAGAATGTTCTGCCGAAGACGAAACATTACCTAGACACGAATCTGACAATAACACAACAGATTTTTTATACCTTCCTATGATTGCGGTATGTGATGATCTAGATTGTTTTCAGCTTTGAAGGTGAGGCCACCCTGACAAATTTTCTCCGTAGATTCTTTTTTTGCCTTCAGCTTGAAGTCAATTAATCCGCTTTTGCTTCACGTGGCGCTGTCTACATCAATAATGAGTATCTTTGATAATTTGTCTGGTCACACAGCCTCTTGGCTCATGGATGTACATCGGATCACCATTGAGCTTTCAATGACCACGGGCCTTCTTCCAAACCAAACTCCTACAGCGCTATCTCCATCAGAACTCAAGCTGTTTACACGAATTCCTCGGACACTCGCCACTGCAATTGGGTGGTTGAACATCGATCCACATTGCATGTTAATGAACTGTTGTACAAAATGCTTCGCAATGTATCCTCTTGATCAAGCACCAGAGGTTTGTATTCATCAAGTGACCAGCATTCCTGGAGGCACCGCGGATTTGTCTGAATCGACATCGAAGCCTCCTGATACTTTAGATGACTGTGAACCAGATTTCTATGAAACTACTTGCCTTGCCCCCCTCACAAAGTTTGTGAGGGGAAAGAAAGTAGCAATCCGAAAGTATGCAGTACAGGATCTATCTCATTGGATTGCACGCTTATTCTCACGGCCTCATATTGAAAAGTTGCTTGATGAATCACTATCTGAATCTCGAAAACCATACAACGAGGTCGATTCCGTATCTGATATCCACGAGTCAAGAATCTGGAAAGAGTTCAAAGGTCCTGATGGTAAACAATTCACAGCTACCAGCGGTAACTTGGTATTTGCTATGTTTGTCGACGCTATCAACCCTTTTGGAAATAAAACAAGTGGCCACCACGTGTCTATCACATTTATTGTGATGGTTTGTTTGACTCTTCCTGTCCGCATTCGACATCGACCTGAGAACGTCTTCTTGGTAGGCATCGCGCCGGGACCTCGTGAGCCATCTCTCGAACAGATGAACTGGATATTGCGCCCAGTCGTGACACAGCTTAAAAGAATTTGGAGCCCTGGTCTTCTACTATCTCAAACGTACTCTTACCCACATGGACGCTTGGTGAAGGCAGCTTTAATTCCTTTTATTGCTGATATTCCCGCTGTAAGACGCTCTCTTGGCTTTCCGAGCGCTACCGCTACAAACTTCTGTTCAGGCTGCCATCTAACCAAGAAGGAGATTGACAACCTCGACCCCACAACATGGTGTTTTCGTACTAAAGACGAACACAACAAGTTGGCATACGAAGCTCGTGATGCGAAAACGGTGGAGGAGCGTCAAACGATTTTCAAGACGCACGGAGTGCGGTATTCAGTGCTTGTAGAGCTCGAGTACTGGAATGTCGTAGACTTCCACGTTGTCGATGCGATGCACAATCTATTATTGGGTCTCCTATCATGGCACCTTCGAAGATTTTGGTCCATGAAAGACGTTTCGAATGATGAGGAAACTCACGTACCAGTTCTGACCTCGGAACTTTTACAACTGCTGGCCGAGCACTCACTCCCTTTGCCACCAAAAAATTATTCAAAAGATGCTGAAACTTCTCATGAAGGTGACGAGACAGAGCCGGAAGAAAACACACTCAGTGATAACACTTCAACAGGTGATGAAGACTTTGACCCATTAGCTGATGTTGGATGGAAAGGGGTGTGGGAAGCTCCACCAACGGAGGAGATCATCATTGACGGTTCTATGCTCTCAATAATCAATAAACTTTTACCTAGAGTAAACATACCATCTTGGATTAAGCGTGCCATACCAGTTCTCGGAAAAGCGTCATTTGGTAAACTGAAAGCCGACGAATGGAGAAATCTCTTCTCAATTCAGCTACCTTTGATCCTTATACCATTATGGGCTGGTAAAGACCAAATCAAACTTTCACTTCTCCAAAACTTCTGTGATCTTGTATCACTTGTGAACCTGGCTCTTAAAAGATCCATCTCAAAGGATCAGATCAACAGATATCGGTCACATATTCAAAGTTATCTCAAGGGTTCGCTGGTGCTTTATACGCACTGTAGCCTTGGGCCAAATCATCATATGGCCATTCACTTAAGTGACTGTCTCGAAAGGTTTGGACCAGTCCGGGCATGGTGGTCCTTCCCTTTTGAGAGGCTGATGGGTAGCATTCTGAAGGCGTGTCATAACAACCATGTCGGTAAGTCTTCTGGATTCAACCTTTCGAAGAGATGCCTCATGAGCTAATGAACCTTCTTTGGTCAAATATCTACAGGCGAACTGGAAATGACCTTCCTGAAAAACTACTGCCAAGCAGGAAACTTATCTGCCTTGATGAACGACGACAAGCTCCCAGACGTTTTGAAACCCTATAAGACCAGACTCGAAGCACTTTACAATCCTCCACCCTCAAAGCCTAAGCTATTATCAAATTCTGACAGGCAAGCACTTGATGTCAATGTGTTAAACCTGCTGGTCAAGCGTTTGAATGATGACAAAAAGGAAACTTGTGTATGGATGCGTCCACAAGAGTGGTGTTTGCTATCACCACATGAATGTAAGGGATTTGCACCGGTTCCAGCTCATGCGTACTTCTTAAAGAACTTATTGCACAAAGAGTTAACTTACTCAACATTTACGCAAAGCCCAAAAAACAGCTTTATTGTCTTCAAATCTCGCACAGGAGGTACCGAATTTGGAAGAATTTTCTCAATCTTTACTCACCGTCGGGCTCCAAAACCTTCAGAAAACATCTTTGATACATGGCTCTACATTCAGTGTTTCCCAAAGTTACCGTCAGCAATGTACAGCCCTTTTTCTAAGCTACAAGTACACGATGTCCAATTTCACATCCGTGCTTGGGGACCTACAGAGGACAGGCTCATTAAAGCAAGTGAAGTCGTTGCACATTGCTCGTGGATGATGTACAAACCCGGTGAGATCCACAAGGAGTTACGGATACCAACAGTGGCCCTAGTATCAATGGAAAGATGAACGCACATTATATCGTTTGAAAACAGATCTGGATGACACTACAAATGAAATATAAACTTGTAACTACGCTAGAAATGCAATAGCACTTTGAATTTACACTACCAATTAAACAGATCCCCGTTATAGATTATAGAGACTTTATACTTGGTATGACTCGAGTTAGGATAGGGAGTGGGATTGATCTCTAAAGCACTGCGCTCACGAGGAGACAGGGTAGCAAGCCACTTGGATGAGTAGCAGTCAATCGGTAGTCCTGTTGGTGGCTTGATTGGACTGTTCGGTGCATTCTCTGTGCGTAATCTAGGGCGAGGTGGTCTACCGTGTGTATTCTTGGGTATACTGGCGATAAGCTTTCCTTTGTAGATATCTAAAGCTATGAATACCTGTTCTAAGAGCGAACTGCGCCAGGGTAGCCTCCGGATGCGACAAGGAATAGATGGACTTAGTTTGTTAGGGGATTCCGCCTCATTGTCAGTCTCGTCGTCGCTGCAGGCGACCTCTACAATGCTGGAAATACAGTACAGCGCCTCTTTTGACATTACACTCTCATCTCGTAAGGATTTGAGCTATTGAGAGATGATAGCGTCATTATGAGTTTCTCAAAAATGAAAGCACCATAGTTTGAGTGACTTACATGTCTCATTCTGGCCTTACGTCGTGTTTCATCTGTCCCTTTTCTTTTTCTTTCTTCATCCCAGTCTTGCTGTCGATACCTGCGAGTTTCCAAAGTAGGTTAAGTCTAAACGCTTAAGCAGGCTTGATAAAATATCCCGACCTTTTTGTGAGAGACTGCACGTAGGTTGACATACATCGCTTGATTTGCTCAGAATTTTCAGGTGCCAAAGAGACCCCTTGGTATTCGCCGCACTCTACTAGCTTTGTGAAAATTCTCAATGCAAGGGTCCAGAGCCACTTATTGTCATCCGACTGTGGTGATTGAGAGAAATCGGGTCTGAAAGATGAGACTCCCACCGCTCTCATCATTTGCCACATGACCGTAAGTTGTTGTGGGGTAGATCTGATATGGCCAGGTCCATCGGGGTATGGAAAGCATGGATCAGGACTCGAACCTTCGAGATTAGGATGTAAAGGAGGATTGGAATCGAAGTCAAAGGCGGAGGCATCCGTATCACGCATCCAAGAAGACTTTTGTTCTTCACTTGCTGGTAGAGGAATTTGAGGTTGTTGCGAGCGGAGTCCAAGGAGTGTATCGATGTGAAAACGCATATGCGACTTGTATGCCAAAAGTGAGACGCGAGTCATTAACCATTGTGAAAAGAGATCAAGATTGATCAAAAGATTGAGATTGACTTACCACTACAAGAAACATAACATTTTCTGGGCAGAAAATTAAATTATTTGTATACAAAAATCTGGAAAGGTCAGAAACAGAGCAAAAAATGTGAAAAAATATGCATCCTGTTCCTTGGTATGAGATCTCCAATCTGCATATTTTTCCGTATTTTTGGGGTTCATATTGGTGAGTGTACTAACAATAACCCTCATAATCACCAGATTACCACCT